CGCCAACTTGGTTTTGGCCAAATGTGGCCTGTTCCTCCTTGTTATTCTAGAAAATTAACATTGCATTCCTATACTATCAATAAAATCGAGGCACAAGCCATTGATGCCTGTAATAATCTTTTAACCAGAGGTTTCTCTTTGACTCCTTTCAATCCTACTGCTCACACACCCCCTTTTTGACCAACTCTGGCCATCTGTGACACGTAGGTTGTTCACAACTGATGCTAACCGTGCCTTCCACCTACTGGATAGACCAAATACTTCTTCTACTTCTCCTATTCTAGCCACCCATGTGTCTATTAGGAATCCCACTTATTCGGGCTAAACGTCCTACTCTTCCACCTGCTTCTCTACCTATCCAGGCTACTACAGCCAAAGGTGCCCCAGCCGCAAACGGCCAGTTTCAGCTTCTCCAATTTTGTAGGGTGACGATGATGATGCTTCTCTCATCCTTGGGAAAAAAAGTAATTGAGTTTATTTCTTCATGAAACACCATCCTTCATGTGTTAATGCTTTATCTGAATTTTCCAGAAGAGTTCAGCTTCCCCCTCGAAGGCTCTAGTCTTAGTAGCTCCTGCTCAATCGCCTTCTGCTGAAGCTGCTTCATCCAAATCATCTGATGAAGGGACTCTGCTTAAAGAGAAATCTTAGTCCCAGAGACTTCATCACAACCAGTTGAAGAGCTGCCATCTTCCCAGGGCGTTGACCCCCTAAGTGTTGAACAAGAAGGTAATACATATTTTGATATTTTTACCCTTGCTTGTGCTATTGGTTTTCGATTCATTGCTTCTTGAATTCTGCAGAGGTTTCCATGGATCTGTCCATTGTGGCAGAGTCTACTCGCCCAAATAAAGGGAAGTCTCCACTGGTGGCAGAGTCAACCGGTGACGTGCTTGAACTTCCCAAAGTTGCTGATAAGGTAGCCTTTTGCTTCATTTTTAGTTTCACTTCGTTTATTGCAGTGAAAATACTAAATGCTTGCATTTTCCTTACAGGATGCCGATGTCATTGTGCGATCCATCCGGGACTTGTTCATTTCTTGGGGACAAGTAAAGACATCTTGCCCTTCTTCAACAGTCGTCCTTCTGCCTCATCTTCTGCCTTCTCGGAGGAAAACATGAATATTCTCAAGCAATCAGTATTTGAGTACGTTTCTTTCATGGACATGGATATTAGCAAGGCTAGTGCTGCCAGACAAAAAGATAAATTTGAGCTTTTAAGAGTGAAACTGGCGCAAGCACTTAAACTTTTGTCGCTCAACTTTTCTTCTGACTTTAAGGTGACGTTGAAG